ATCCTCCCCCTCCCCTCTCCAATTTACTGTTCTGTAGACGGTCCTGCTTTCACGTATTAAACTAGGGATCCAAGGATAGTGCAAAGTGTTGAGATATGCTCTCATATTCTTCCTGTAATTAGTAAATAATTAAGTCAAGTGTAACTAACTAAATGATTATTTTAAGAGATACTTATGTGCAATAATCAAAATATTTTTTATAGTTCCTAATAGCTTTCCGTTGATTGTAAATTAACCATACTTAGTAAAGAAACAAATATATCCATACTTAATATCTTGTATAAATAGAAGTAGTTTCACCATTATAAGATAGATCGTTGACCATAGACATTGACGTTAAACATTAAATGTGATCGAAATAGTTATCTGTGATCTCTCTATTGTTCGTGTAAGTCAATATATACTAAAGAAGGTTGATGGCTACATCACAAAACCTCACACAAAGTTTCTAAGAAAAAATGTTAGTAAACATGGCAAATAAAACTAGTTTTAAGAATGCGTAGTATCGCACCATGGCTTTTCAAAAAATGCTAAACTGACATTCATTTCGAGAAGTGCTTATCAAAGGCTAAGCAGTTTGTTTTTTGACGAATAGCTACAACTTGCTCCAAGATTGCGTAAATAAACGTTAATTTTGTATGCGCATTTACATAGCGGACAGATTATGAGGACATTTGGCACGCCACTATCATACATTCGTCATTCATGCATCACAACCTTTTATTATTACTATGCAGTATACAACTAATAAATTACAAAATCACTCTTGATTTCCTTTCTTTGTTTCGTTTGTGTTGTATTTTTTTTATTCTTCTGGCACATATAAGAAGTTCATGTGTTCAGAAGAGCAAAATGCTTTGTTTGCGATACTTTTAGCGCAAAATTCCACCTAATTAAATAACAAGGCAACGAGTAGTAAAATACAACGATGTTCGATAAATATTTACTTAGTACAATTTGCATCAGTTGATAAACAAGTCCAGTTTTCGGTAAGTTTGCGTTAACGAATATTCATTTCGTATTTGCATTTTCATTGGGATTACATGAAAGTCGACAAAGTCATACAGTCGTACTACATGACTTTCTTATATTGTTCAAAGCAATCTACAACTAATGCTTTCCTTCAAAAACAGTAATAGTGCACTTTATTTCTTGTGAAATGCTCCTAACCGAGGAAGATGTGTGCGCAACTTTCAATTTTACTGGCGTATCACATACAAGTCGTATGTTTAAGACAAATTCACCAACTGACCAACACATAGTGTATGTGTGTAGATAGACCAGAAGTTCAGAGCAGGTTGCTAAATAAACAGCGCTAATACATAAACAGTTGCAAATACGGCAATACAGCAAATACCGATATTCTTCACATTCTTATAAAATCGAGCTTACAAAATCTTCAATATATTTGTCAACAGTGCCAGCATTAACGAAAAGCGTTATAGTTATACACACAATTCATTATGCAGTTTGCACAAAAATGGCGCAAGCGCATTTAGGTATTTCCTCTAAGAATTGGAGCTAATGAGGGTAAAACGGGGGGATACAATGTTATAACTCATCAAATTGGGACACAGGATGTACGGTTATATATATATAAACTGTTATATATAAATAAATTGTTAGTTTAGAATGAAACAATTAAATAAATGTCTTAGTTAATGTGAGTTGAAGTTGATGTTAAATTCTCTTCTAATAATCGCTGAAAAATTGATAAAAAATCTCAAAAAAATCATTAAACATAAAGTGAGCGTTGTTGCTCGACACCCCCCGGAAAGTTAACACTATGACTGACTGACTGACTCTTTTGAATTTTCGCCACTCACCACAATACTGCAATTTTGTTGATCAAGAGGCTTTCCGCTTTCGTGAATAAGAAGTTCTTGTGAGTTTGAGCATGAAGAAAGTATTTTAAAATCCTCGAAGGTGGCGGTGTGTCCTGTGGATTTAAGGTGTGATAGTATGGAGGAATGACAGGGATGTTTAGAAGGTTTACCAGTCAAAGGGGTGATGCCCAATTGCTCTGAAATTCGAGTGTGTAGGTGGCGGGTGGTTTGACCCACGTACGGAAACTTTGCACTAAACCTTGTATCCTACACTTTTGAAGATCACCAACTGACGATCCTTTTCCGGTAATCATCGCCTGATTGACCCATTTAATAGCCAAACCAAAGCACGCTTAATCAAAAAAAGACAAATAGTTTATTTGCATTTAAAGTTTTTAAACAAATAATCTGATTATTTTAAAGATTGCCGGGCAAAAACAACTGTGCTTAACAAATTTTTCTATACAAACTTCTTAAAATATTCGATAAATGGGTTTTGGTGTTCGCCATGGTGGTTGACCGGAAATATCATAAGAAGTCTTATTTTTACGTTTGCGCAACTAATCAGAAGTGTTCTGTGTAGCTAACAAAGAAATATGTCAAGAACGTTGTGAAAATTAATGATTTTAGACTTTTTATGTATAATGTACGTTTCATTAAGTACACTCATTATTGAGTACAGTAGCTACATACAATAATACCGAGCATCTACCATTCAAGATTCCTTTGGATACTACATATCTTATGAACTGCCAAGAAAAATTCTCATGAGATATCCAATAGCCGGATAGCGTTGTTGTTTAAAACCAACAACGTGTTTTCCCACAACCGTGGGAAAGGGTAAATTATATTTATAATCTAACAAGGATGCTCATCTCTTCAGTATAAATGATGATATAAGCGGTATACCATATGAAACATGTATATTTTTTAAAATTGTCGTTTAAATGAACAATAATATTTCTACCTAATATGACAAACCCAGCAGAAACTCTTCCCATACAGGCTATATACACAGTTATGGTTTCTGAAATATGATTTCCTTACAACATCATTGGAATTGAATTGCGTCAAACTGACTTTGCAATATTTTGAGAGCAATGAGCTGCCTGAATTACTTATTACTTATTTCCAAAAGCAGACGAGTTGTTTTTTGTCATAGTAACTAACTAATTTGCAATTCTATATAGCTATCAAATAATTTTATGTTCTCGAACAAGTCATGGAGTTCATCTTATGAACAAAGAATGCAATATTGTCAAAAAAATTAATACATATCCAATCTTTTTTAGCTGTAGTAATGAAAACAATGATATAAATGTAGCTTTAAAATTTTGTAACACGCAAATAGTTAAATGGATATATAGCCACCGTAGCACACCATAACCCATGACAAACAAAAATTATCAAAATTTACAACAAGCGCTACAATGCGTGTTTGCTCTTCCTATTTTAAAAATATAGCCACGTAAAGAATTTGACACATCTTTGTTGCCCAGCTATATAAAAACAATCAAAAAGAAAAATTTACCGTGGAATTTGCCAGCAGCAAATCAACAAAACTCTCGACGAGCCCTTTCGAATGAGCTATTGAAAATCGCCGTAACTCAAATATTTTCAAAAGAACAGCTAAGAAGTGAATTAGAAAGATATATTTATAAGAAATCAGCTGACATGAGAACAGACATTATGGGTGAGCAGAGCACTTATAAAAAAATAAAGATGCGTTAACCTAGTCTCAAGTAAAACTTGCTTTAACAACAGTACTGCAGTCAAACGTCTATTTAACTGTTTATCCATGGCAATCGCAACAACAGACATATTGAGGGAAAGGGGAGCGGTAACTTGTTGACTAAAACTAACAAATAATTTTTTAAAAAAATAATCAAAATTGTGTCGGCTTGAAATCGTCTTCAATGTGCATTTGTCGCTGCAGTACATTATGTGAGCTCAGCACGAATAGCACATCAATTCGTTTGTTTTAGATATTGATGAAGAAGTCATGAATATTAAATCACCGTTAAACTATCATTTGGGAAGACAAATTTGTCAAACGACATAGTTCATTTAGATGATGGTGTTTCGGTCGATATTTATGCAAAGAATATTTGGCGACGAAGGCTTTAACCATGATAAAATATAAAGTGACATAATATAATATAGTCAACATATTCTATACGTCACCATTATAGTTTCAGTCCTCAAAGAAGAAGTTGTGTCGATTTATAAGGAATATTTCACAGACATTCCAAAAAACAACGAGCCATATTATGTTAAAGTTCAAAGATGTGTCATCGATAAAGATAAAATTCCTCCACTTGCAAATTTTTGGCCCCAGCCAAGAACGACGATAGAAGTCGAGATTGTCGTTCTTGATTTAAAAAACGACACAAAATTTTACAAATATATTGTATATAATAGAACTTCTTGTTACATGAGTACAAACTTAACAGCCTTGAACTTTCATCAACACAAGAATCTATCTTCAAACGAAAGTAAGGACTTCTGAATTTGATTAAAATCTAAACTTAAATCTAAATTTGAAACGCTTTTCCTTTTGTGTTTACAGTTAACGAAACAGAATTTACAACAAAAGTAAAATACAACCCAGCAAACTTGAGAACATGTAATGACTATTGCAAGCATCCACAACCTCGTTTTCATCTGCACAGTGAATATTCAAAGGTTGTTTTAAATTATCTCTTTAGTAGCTAAATCATTGCTAATTTTATGCTGATTACCAAAGAATAACACGTGCAAAATGTGTATATGGCGGACGGTATTATGGATGCTGTTCGTTTTTGAAAGGAGCGAAAACGTGAATGGGGGAAACAATGAGTTAGGTAAGACAACAAACGAAGGCTTTAACCATGATAAAATATAAAGTGACATAATATAATAAAGTCAACGTATTCTATACGTCACCATTATAGTTTCAGTCCTCAAAGAAGAAGTTGTGTCGATTTATAATGAAATTTTCACAGACATTCCAAAGAACAGGGAGCCATATTATGTTAAAGTTCAAAGATGTGTCATCGATAAAGATAAAATTCCTCCACTTGCAAATTTTTGGCCCCAGCCAAAAACGACGATAGAAGTCGAGATTGTCGTTCCTGATTTAAAAAACTGCACAAAATTCTACAAATATATTGTATATAATCACACTTCTTGTCGCATGAGTACAAACTTAACAGCCTTGAACTTCGATCAACACAGGAATCTATCTTCAAACGAAAGTAAGGACTTCTGAATTTGATTAAAATCTAAACTTAAATCTAAACTTGAAATGCTTTTCCCTTTCTTTTTTCAGTTAACGAAACAGAATTTACAAGAAAAGTAAAATACAACCCAGCAAACTTGAGAACATGTAATGACTATTGCAAGCATCCACAACCTCGTTTTCATCTGCACAGTGAATATTCAAAGGTTGTTTTAAATTATCTCTTTATCTCATTTACTCAATGCTTGCCTGGTTGCAAAGCAACAAAAAACACTAAGAACATCAAAACACAAACCCTATATGGTTCAACCAAGTTTGAAGTCATTGAAGAACATAAATCTTGCAATCTCTGGAACGAAAAAGTCCATAAAAGTCCCCCTTCTAGTAGCAGACGCAGAGATCCAGGTAAAAAATTTTCAATTATGATGGAAAGAATTAACCAAAAAGCGTAATGTGTGTAATTAGACGAGCACAACTTTTGAGAAAAATTGCAAAATAATCATATTTTACGATTTGCTTCATGATCTTATTTCCATAAAATTTCTCTACAGAAAGTAGACCCCTCGTGCTAAATAACGGATTATTTGTCTACATCACATCACCCAGAATGATGTTAGTTGCCTTCTTTCTCTCTACTGTCCTTATCTCAATACTCATTCTGGACTGTAATTTGTGTCATCGTAAGAAAGGAATGATGTATTCGATAAAGAGTTGTGGAAAGAATGAAGAGTGTGAAGACTGCGTAAGAAGACAGCAAACTATGATAGAAATAGTTTAAGTATCAGTAGTTTTTGTGTCACACTTCTGCTTGGAATAAGACAGGAACAAATGATGCACAATGAAACGATTATTAGAAAACTTGTATAAAGAAAAAACTTTTAGAATTTATGCTACGTTCGCACGAATATCTTGTCAATTAAGATATTATTCGAATGAGTGTACTTTAAATTTCTGTTACAGTGATATAAAACACAAATTATAAATATGAAGATTCAGAGCAATATAGCTTGTGTACACCTGGATGAATGGGCTTTGAAAGAAAATAAACTAAACACCTTTCATGGAGACTAATGCCTGGAGTTTTAATGTTGAGTAAATGTTGAGTACATATTTTTGGTAAATGGGAACTTCTGCATTCTCGCACATTTTCCATCGTGACACGAAGATGCTGTGGATACAAGTATTGGCTTAAGGATAGAGAAATTAGAGCTTTTTTGTCCGATTATTTTTGAAATAATCACAGATGAAAAACACCGTAATGATTTTAGGGCAAAAATATGAATATATGCAAATAACGCAAATTTCTAATTAGCAGCAATTTTAAAAAACACTTGAGAAAAACGACGATTTTTTTGAGAGCAAACATGTTTCGACATTATCAGAATGCCATCTTCAGTGCAGAATGGTTAGTGTTAAGTAATATGATACGTGATATGAATAAATTAATTACAATGAATAGGATTATGATTCAGTTACTAAATATAAAATATTTACAAAAAAGGAAAAGAAAAATAAGTATTAAGAACTTATAACAAAAAATATTATTATAAAGTAAATATAGTGTTGTAGTGGTGAACTTGGATATTTAAATCGGGATTAGTTTTATTAATGTGTAGAGCTTCCTTGATTTTGAGTGAGAAAGTGGATTGATCAGTGTCGATGATTTTAAAACAGGAAGGTGAGAATTTGTTTTACATGAAGGAGGCTTGAAGATGTTTGTAGATAGTGGAGTTTCTGTCTGTGTGAGTATGTTCCTTTATCCTGGTAGATAATTGGCGAGAAGTTTCACCAATGTGCAGGAATTACATCCCGCATGAAATTGATAAACTACCATAGATTTGGAAAGTTCGGGAAGTGGGTCTTTAAACGAAAATAAAGATTTTATTTTGAAAGATGTGAAAATAAGTTTAACGTCAATGTCAGTGCAGTAGCGTTTAATGATTTGTGTGAGTTTGCGTTGTGTGTGTCGTGAGTAATCACCTATGTGAGGTAGTTTGAAATAACGTTTATTGTCAGGTTGTTGTATATCGTTAGTGTTAGTTGTGGCGTTAGATGAGTCAGTGCTTATCTTGTTGTCCAAATAGTGCTGTATAGTGTTGTTGATGAAATGAAAAGGAAAAGAATTACGTTGGAGAGTGAATATTAGTTTCTTTAAATCACGTTGAAAGCCGATGTCTGTGTTGTTAAGTTTCCGTGCTCTGTCGGTCAGTGTTCGTATCAGTCCAATTTTGTAATTTAATGGTGTGAAACTAAAAAAGTTAGTCAGTAGTCCTGTATAAGTTGGTTTGTGGTACGTAGAGGTCATACAGTTTTCATGTGATTTAGTTAGTAAGATGTCAAGAAAGGGTAACTGATTGTCTTGTTCGGTTTCGTATGTAAAGTTTATGTTTTGATGTTGTTTGTTGATGTATTCGTAAAGAGTAATGCTTCGTCTTTGTTATGAAAAATACAAAAATGTCGTCAACGTATCTGCGGTAAAATAAAAGGTTTGTTGTTGCTGTAGTTATTTAACCAATTTCGTTCGTGAAAACCCATGAAAATGTTGGCTAGAATGGGTGCCAAGGGTGAGCCCATACTTACCCCATCAATTTGGTCGTAGTACTTACCGTTAAATAAAAAATGAGTCTCGGCCGTAGCGATGTTAAACAATAGTTTTAGTTCTGCTCTGTTCATTTTGAATGTAGGGTTATTGGTAAAATTAAATCAATAGCAATGTCTATGGTTTCGGTCAGTGGTATGTTGGTAAAAGGCTTTCAACGTCAAAAGAAATAAAAATTTGTCATGTGGAGCGTTAGTGTTAAAAGATAAAAATCATCGACAAAACTAAAGAATCTTTAGTAGAATGGTCATTAGGTATTAGGGGTTGGAGTAAAGAGCTGAGGTATTTGGCTAATTTGTAGTTATACGAATTGATTGAAGAATTTATAGGTCTGATAGGAGGTATGTCATTGATATTGTTTAATATTGTTTAATATCAATGACATAAACATTGATTTCTAGTTAATTCGAATAACTGAATTAATATCTTCACAAAACATCACATGACAATTCTTTATTTCTTTGACGTTAGCTTACAACATACGCTGACATGACACATTGTTATTTTTGACGTAACCTGCCAAAATTGACATGAGAACAAACTATTGTTTAACATCGCTACGCTGTTTATTTCGGAAATACTACGACAGAATTGATAAAGTGGTATGGGCTCACCTTTGCATTCTAATGACGGCTCATGAGTTTCACAATGACGGCCTTAACAACAATATGGACGTTGACGATGATTTTCATAACGAACGACAGCGACATTTACGAATCATCGGAAACATCAAAACATTTTGGCATTACGAAACCGGCAAATCATTCCACAAACGACATCAGCAAATCACATGCCGACCGACTTCTGCGCTCACCGTGCTTTGACTGCTTACTGGCGTTTCACGCCATTAATACAGTGAACTGACAAACGCACGACCGATGAGCAGGAAACAATGACAGCATCGGCTTTCGGACATTCGCTGGCAACAATCTTTCGCTTTTCGTTTCATCGGCAACTTTATACAGCGCACTGTTTGAACGGCAAGATGGCTGACTTCAGCACGCAACCGCGTAACGATATAGGCACACCTGACGATAAACGTTATTTCAACTACCTGCATAATTACTCACGCACGCACGCAAATCACTGAATCGATAAACGCTTTTACGACTTGACGTTAAACATTTTCATCTTTCAAAAAGATAACATTTTCGTTGCTTACTCTCAGGCTTTCAAATCTGTGGATTTATCGATTTTCATGTGCGGATGATTCAGCATAATGAATATCTGCCGGAATAAAGGAACATGCTACACGCGAACAGAAACTCCTATCTGGCTCGAAGCTCCTCGCTCATAAAAGGAATTCTCACCTTCTGTTTAAAATCATCGACCTTTCAATCCACTTCTCACCAAAATCAAGCTCTACACATAATAAAACTAATCCCCGATTTAAACCAGTTCACCACTTCTGACTATATTTTATAATAATATTTTGTTATAAGTTCTTAACTTATTTTTCTTTTCCTTTGTAAATATTTTATATTTAGTAACTGAATCATAATCCTATTCATTGTAATTAATTTATTCATATCAAGTATCATATTACTTAACACTAACCATTCTGCACTGAAGATGGCATTCTGATAATGTCGAAACATGTTTGCTCTCAAAAAAATCGTCGTTTTTCTCAAGTGTTTTTTAAAATAACGCAAAGTTTAAATCCGTAATTTGAATCAACCATATAAAATGTTTCATGATTTCCAAGAAATGTTTCATGATTTCAAACACTTTGAATTAGTTTGAAAACTGTTACTGGCCTGTTATTTTTTATTATATTGTTCAATTTATCGGGTACTTTTCCAGCAAAGGGGGGAAGGGGGGCGCCACCACTTCGCCCATCACCCTATATCCGCCCCCCGTCACATTACCCCCATAAATTTCCATTAAAAAGTAATTTAGTTTCAGGTATCATTGACTGAGGAATTACTCCAAAGCTAGTTAAAGATTTAAGTAAAATGTTTTGAGTAAAACCACGATTGTTTGCATGGAGAATTTTTTATACTTATTGGCATAACATCGAGCTAAATCGCTTTCCTTTAACAATCATATTTTCAATATTGTGGATGAAAAACTCTAGTTTTTAGTTCACAGTCACGTTACTAAGCAAAAAGTAATTCGAAACTGACCACAATAGTAATCCACAATGCGAAACCGAACCGTTCTGATAAATAATTACATGCACATAAGCAACCATTTTCATTGTTTAGTTAACGTCACAATACTAACTAAAACGTGACTAAAGATAACCTCAATTAACTTGCCTAGCGCATATCATGTATGATAATGTATGATATAATGTTGTACACCAAACATATGTACTCCAAGATTTTAACATAATTATCGAATCTAATGAAAAACAGATCAGTAGCTACATCATAAAATAATGTATGATTACAACGAAACGAACCGTCTTTTAAAAAACTATTTAGAGCTAATGGTTAATTTTACTTGACTTGCCACGGCATTTTCACATGATTACAAGTTAAGAATGAAAGGGTTTTAAAATAAAATAAAGATATTTGCATAGACAGA